CTGTCAATACAGGCAGTTTCAACAGTACATCCCTTTTAAAAAGTTTTAAAAAACACCATAATCCCACAAATATTCACCACACAAGACGGAGAGTTTGTTAGAAATTGAAAACCTGTATTGTGCAGACAATAAATAGTGCTTACAAAGGGAATTCTGTCCTTCACACAGACAAGGTTTCTGTTTACACCGTTGATATGAAACGCATCACCATCTGAATCAGTGGGACTCACACACATCCCTCGGGTGTGACTACTGAAACTGGAGCGGGACTGGGAGTCGACTGTCACATGCACATCCCCCCCCTTCGTGTGGCATCAAAAAGAACGTCTTTCAAAAGTTTACAAAAAGAAGTCTCTGCTTGTCGAACGCCTCGCTCCTCTGACAACATGGAGGACGGGTTCAGGAGGTTTTGTATTCTGAGCAGAAATCCCCGTGTACCGGCAGCTCCGTTTCTAGAGACATAGCCTCCAAAGTTGGCTGGAAGCGAATCCCAGGATCGCCCACTAACTGCGGGCCGGGCGCTGGAAGACTGCATCTCCCCTGACAGAACCACACATCAGCAACTCTTCACAGAAGAAACCTTGCTATGGCCGGTGAAATCTGCAAAACAAGAGGGTAAAAAGTGTGAGTGCGAGGATGAAATATTCACACAGTAAGGCTTCTTCAATCAAAAGGTCTATTAATAGCGCAGCGGACAGTGCAGCAAATGGCCTTAAGTGAAAAAAAGGGTCCTGCGTAAGCACAACCGAGGCTAATTCAGGTTTTTTTATTTTTTTTAGCTGGTGACACTTTTGACGAAAGCAAAACGCAAGCTAAATATATCCGGACATTCATTATAGTTGAGAGGTGGTGCAACTCTCGTCTCAAGGGGCCTGGTGGCAGCTATATTGAAGCCCTACTCTGCACTCATTGAGGTGAAACTTGTAAAATGCACCTTTGTGTCATTTCACAAAGTCACAGCGACCCTTTTAGACATCAAATTAAAACCAGAAAGGAGAAGAAAAGGACAGTAATAACCCACCTCGTCAGATGCTTGCTCGAGGTGTGGACTTCCATCTCCGTACTTTTGAACTCGTTCAGCTCCTTTCGTATCGCCGCCTGTAAAAAAAAAGCAACATGAAGCGTGAGCACAGGTGGGAGAAGAACTATCATGCTTTATTAAAGTAAAAGAAGAACAGTTTGCTCTTAATGGGAGCCTAAAATGCTCATTTTCAGGTTCATATCAGTGTGTAGTGTCTCTACTGGGACATGTCTCCATGCTTTAATGTTCAAAAAGCTCTTTATTGTTCTCATGCTGTCTTTGCTGCAGCACCTCTTTTCACCCTCTGTCTGAAACCAGAGCCTAGTCTGCTCTGATTGTGCTTGTGATCCGGCTTGTGATTGGTCAACTGCTTAAAGATGTATCGCCCCTTAGCCTATCACGTACAATGTGTTGGAGCGCTAGCCAATAGAAGCGCATCATGTCATATAAGCACATCATGTAAATGTAAACATGTAGCTATGAGTGTTAAATAAATGTAGTGGGGTAGAAGTATAAAGTATATGTCAAATAATACGTAAGAATGGTCTTTGAGTAAATGTACTTTACAACACTGAGCACAGGTGTTTCCCTTCAAACAGACGTGATGTCACTCAGGTGGTGAAGCTCACACGGGACTGGAGAAGCATCTGTTGTTTAGGTGCAAATGATGTTAGCTTTAATGGGTTTAACGTCAAACAGAACGTGGTGCTGGAGGTTTTATAGAAAGGGTTTCTGCCGGGTTGTCCAACTTAAATCTAAGAGGTTTTAAGACTTTTTTATAACCATATTGGAAACAATGTACTGCTTGTTTTATGATCATTTTAACATATATGTGAGATCCTGAGCAGATATGATTATAAAACCAACTAGCTTATTTTGGCAGTACCTGTGCCTCACACTAGGTGGCACTGTGAGTCCCACTGTTAACATGTTGTATTATTATATGGTTTTATTGTCAAAGCTACAGTGTAGAATTGGCCATGAAAATCTTATGACCTGAGCTCCTCCAACAATGCAGCATATATAATAAAATACTAAAATACAAAATACAAGGTCTATGTTGATGCATAATAAGACTTTTTATGACCTGCAGAGACGCTGACACAGGTAAGCTTCACAAACAAACCAAAAAGTCAGGATATGGACCCCGAATATACATTTTGTACTACTTTTAATATCTAAAAGGCTTTGTTTCTTACCTTGTCAGAGGCGGACAGGCGGGTCCAGGGTTTGTCGGCCCGCCTGTCGTAGTCCTGAGCTTTTGCCACTTCCACATAGTCGCTGAATCGGATCAGGATCTTCCTGTCCCGCAGCTCGTCTACTGTGGGTCTCTGGTTCAGCTGGAAGACAAAGAAAATGTCAGATCTCATTAGCTTATCAAAGCAAACGGGCAGAAACGAGACTGGGCTGGGCAATATCATTGTAATGTAAACTATCTGTAGGAATTTCAACCTTTTGGTCGGCTTTTAAAGACGTTACATTTGGCTCGGTCAAGCTTGGATTTTTTTTTATAGACCAACCGATAATCAATTACTTTTTTATTATAATTAAGCTGCGATTAGTTGCCTTTTTCCACTTATTATTTGCTGTAGACATTGTAAAGCCCCCTTAGACGATCATTTGTGTGAGTAATTTCTCATATTGGTCTTTATACTGTTAACAAACATGGTTGAATTTGACATTTAAAAAATTCAGATTATTTTGTGAAAGCATGAATTCTACAATATTATCAAAATATCAATAATCAAGATGATCGGTCAATGAGATTGTGAACTAAGATTTCTTTCATAATGTCCAGCCTTACAGAGAGAGAGATTGGTGGTAGAAATTACATATTAAAAAACAGCAGAAGCAGGTTGGGTCTGTTTTGCTTCCTTAATGTGAGAGCAAATAGAAATGTAATGTCCGTGCCGCTGCTCACCTTTCTGTTGAGCCGCTGTTTGATTTCTCTCCTCTCCTCCTGCTCTGTCTGGTCATTTCTTTCTGTTGACGCAAAAAAAAAAGACAAATATTATAACCAAAAGTCAGAAGAAAACAAGTTAATTAAATCAATACACAATCCCCAATGGTTATTTAAAGAGACTAGACAGTAGATGAAGTCTGCACAGATAATGTGTGTGACTCTTCTCATCAATACTCAGAGTGAAGAAGTGCTGAGGACAGAACTGACCTCAGATCAGTGCTGAATGAGTGTTAGAGAGCGGGTGGATTACAGCTTCTATAGAGTGGTGCAGGAATGAGTCCTTAAACCAGGAAATGAGTTACAACTTCTGGTTCCCTCGTCTCAAAGTCAACATGTTTTTTGATGCCTGAAATGAGGTCTGTGGTTTAAACAAATGTAAGAATGTTTAATGTCTTGTTCTACCCCTGGTATGAACCGGTGAAAGTCCAGAGATTCTCGGTATCATAAAAAAACGGCCGTTGCTAACAAGTGACAAAATAAACTACTTAACGTCATCACGCTGAACATTAGCCACCTTTAGCTTAGCGGTTGTGACGTGAAGTCATGTGACCGTGATGTAGTTAGTTTGCAGCTTTTTAGAGACTGCAAAAAAAGTGGTGTTAATATGTGGAGATTATTCTGCTGAAGTAAACATGTAAACATCACAAACTTGTTTTTACCACAGAGCTTAATTTGTGCAATTTTCTGAAATCCAATGGACAAAATCTCATTGTTTTTTGGTCGAGGGAGCCCTTGCGATGCTAACTTCGGAGTCGGCCTACAAATATGTAATTGCTGCACCACTCTATAGGATTAATCTTTATTAAATACAGCAGAAAGATCACTAGAGGCCACTTCACTTATTCTTAAATCGCGCTCTTGTTTTAATTCCTGTAAAAATGTTGATCTTGTTTGTTAGCTTTAAACGAGTCTGGCACCAAATGATGAGCATATTTTTAATGAAGGTGTTTCTGGTGAGGACACTGAGTGAATGCATGTGTCACTCAGTCAGTTCAGCCTGAACACATGTCGCTGTGCAGAGACGCTGAGAGACGGACAGCTGAGATCACACCTGGCTCAGATCCTTCATTCCTCACACGGCTGTTTCATTATAGTATCAGGAACTAGATGCTCCTTAGATCACTTTTTAATTCATCTGTTTTGTTAATTTCTCTTCATAGCATTTTGAAGCACCTTGAGATGACTTGAAGTGTGTTATGAAATGTATTATGACAGATCGACTGCTTTCGTTAGAAGTGTTATGATCTGACACCTCCTGACACAAGTGGAGCTTTTCCCCTGAAAGCAACAGTATGACTAAGAATGATTAAAGAGCTGAAATGATTCTTCGATTATCAGAAAACGTTTTCTCATATTTGATAAATATTGTCGTTTTTCAAACAGAAAAAGTAGAAATAGTGAACATGTATTTCATATTCTCTCATTTCAGCTTCAATATGAGAATATTGTGTGCTTTTCTTTGACAATAAATAATATCAATAAAAAGTTAATTATCTTTGGTATTTGGACTTTAGGTCGTCATTTGAAGACGTAGAGGACATTTCTTTGTTTTGATTAAATACAAAGTATTAAAAGAACCTACAACTTGGACTACAGTCAAGTACCACGTTTCAATGAAAACAGTAGAGGACAATGATTTGGGGGATTTGTGGTTAAAAATGTATAGTTTTTGAATATATTTCTTGCAAATATATAAGAAAATCATTTTATTGATAATTAATCTGCTGATGTTTCTTAATTGATTCATACATTTAGAAAATACAAATTAAACTCACAATCAAAGCAATGATATGGAGATCTAACTGCTCTTGTTTTGTTGTTGTTGTTGTTGTTGTTTTTTCATTAAAACTTCTTAAACTAAAGCAGTGGACATCCATTCAGCCCCCATCACAATAGTCACTAAAATATATTAAAGTGTAACCATGTTTCCTTAAAATGGAGAAACGTCCACATCAAGTAAAATCATGCCCACGTTTTCAAAATAAAAGCATATATTTTGGACATAAACACACGTATTTTTCAAAAATAAACACACACAAGACGTCCCATTACGAGATGTGTACACAAACAGACAATTGTGCTGTCAGGAGAAAAACGTAATGATAGTAATTGTTGGATAATGACATATAAAGCTCCATCTCTTACGTTTTAAGATGTTCCGGCTCTCCAGCTCCTCCACGGCCGGCCTCTGGCTCAGTCGCCTGCGGAAGAACACCAGAATTACGTTCTGGACCATCTCTCCCTCCTGGACCTCCTCTTTCCAACACCCCCTCCTCGGCACAAAGTCCTTTCCCCGACTAATACTAAAAGCACTTCGGGAACTTAACCCGCTGTCCAGAGCACCAAATCCCGCGCATCCAAAGCGCAAACGCCGCGTCCCACCTGGAGTCCAAACTAGTTCTGCTATAATGACATTTAAAGCTCCACATCGGGAAATAAAAGTCCGGTTGCGCGTTTAATATCGCGCCGCAGACAGAGCCAGTTTGGTGAAGAACAGAGGAAGAGTTTCCCTCGGATGTGGAGTTTAGATGAGAGGAGTGTGTGATGTAGTCCGGGTGGAGAGTGCTGCGCTGAGCGAGAGGAGCGGTGAGTGGCGCGGGGAAAACCGCCTGCCTGCTTTAAACACCATGAGCAACACACTCATGTGAGGGGGAGGGACTGAGAGGGAGATCCCGGTGCGCTCTCACACACACACATATTTTTTTTTCTTATTTGTATTTAACATTCTGTTTTATGATCTATTTTTACATTGCAATTCATTTTTGTCGATCTGTAACACCCCCTAAGACAAAATGTGTTTTATGAAAATGTTTACCTTGAATGTGTACTTTTTATATGTTTTATTAATGTGTGCTTGCCTCTTTATTTAATATGTTAAATCTACAATTTGTGCTTTTATCTGACTGTCTTTGCTCTAACAATATTAAAGGGGTCCTATAAAGCTCATTTTCAGGTTCATATTTTGTTCTGGGACATATCTCCATGCTTTAAAGTGGACCTATCATGCTATATTAAATATATTGTAGGGCCATACCTATATAAAACATGTCTGTGAAGTTCTTTTTTCAAAATACCAAACAGATCCCCCATTGTAGCCATCCCTCTTACTGCTCAAACCCCTCTTTTGCAGCCCTGTTAGAGAAACGCAGATTTTGGAGAACCGCAGATTTGGGGTCCTTAGCTTGAAAAAAATAAATAAGAGGAGGCGGAGCTAATGCCTGATCAGAATTCTACCGGAGATAAAGTTAAATTCGGTTGTGATAAAACGCCATCCTGTTCTAAACCACGTCAAGGATTATTTCTGAAATAGTATGGAGCTCAAATGCTTTTTCTCTTGCGGGTTTATCACAAAGTGAGTTCTTTTTTTATTTCCTTCTTTTCAAACACATGTGCTCAGTTCAGGTTAGCTCTGAGTGTTAGCGAGGCTTGCTAATGTAAACAAAGACGAGATTACGTCCAAAACACGTCAGGCATTGTTTCTGATAGCAACTTTCTGTGGGTCCGCCAACGTCAGTTCGGATGGAAATCTGTATCCGCTCGTTGTACCCCCGTTTTTAAAACG